TGAGAAGTCAGACAACTTCTGTCTTGTCTATTTACATCACTTTGCATTTTGTAGCTGTGCCATGGTGTGGTGGGTTAACCTTTGGTTGGCTGCCAGGTGACCACCCAGCTGCTCTGACCTCCTTTCCTCAGAGTAGGGGGAGAAAATCAGATGAAAAAACTCATGGGTTGAGATAAGGGCAAGGAGGGTAAATGGGGAAACTCAACCAATTACCATCCTGGGCAGAACAGACTTGACTCCAGGAAGGCTAATTTAGTTTATGCCAATTAATCAGAGAACAATAGTGGGAAATAAAACTAAAACCAGCTTCTCCTAAGCTCCTGTTTCTTCCCAGGTTCAACTTCACTTCTGACTCTTCCACCTCCTTGCCCCAAGTGGTGCAGAGAGATGGGGAATAGAAGCTGGAGTCCATCTATCTTGCTTTGGCTCTGCTGCTCCTCTCTCTTCATGCTCTTTTCCTGCTCCACCAGGAGGTCTCCCCCATGAGAGTCTCCCACAAACTCTCCAACTTCCCATGGGCTGCAGTTCTTCAAGAACTGTAGGTGGGCATCTGCTCCACCATGGTCCTCCATGGGCTGCAGGGGAACAACCTCCTTCACCACCATCTTCTCCACAGGCTGCAGTGAAATCTCTGACCCTCTTCTCCTCCTCCTCTGTCTTGGGTGTCTGCAAGGCCATTTCTCTCACACTTTCTTACTCCTCTCAGCTGCTGTGCAGCATTTTTTACCCTTTATTAAATATGACATCACAGAGCTGCCTCTGGATTTGCTGATGGGCTCAGCTCAGTGGTGGATACTCCTTGGAGCTGGCTCTGTCAGTTTTTATAACTTTTAAAAAGAAGTTAATTTGTCAGGATTAAGGAGTGGACATTTTCTATGGAAGAGCTGAAAAAATAACAGAATTTCATGGGTTGTAGAGTTTCTTTTATATTGCAAAACCCATTTCTGAGCATCATTTCCTTTACACTGGGCTGCACTGGTGAGTTATTCTGTAGGATAGCTTGGTTAGATTGGAATTCTAACTGGCTTAATTCTGCAAACAACTGTGTTTCTCCTTCAATTTGCTTTCTCTGGCATTTGGAAGGATCTCTGGTAGTTCCAAGTGAGACTAAACTGGATACATACCAGCTGTGCCTGGGTGAGGTACTTCTTCCACCAGAGATACTTGCGCATGGAAGGGATGACTGAGAGTCCATAGTAAGAGTACATGAGCACGTGGATAAAGCTGTTCAAAGTGGGGCCAAAGAAACCTAGAAAAATCCATCAAGGAAAAGAGTTTTAGACACCAGCTGCTGAAGAGAGAAGATATTGTTGTTTGTGATGGCTCTTCTATACAAGAGGAGTCTTTCCTTCCTGCTTATCCTTTGCTCAGGGTGTTCTGGATGTGAGGAGATGCTGTCCTAGGGACAAGTGCCAAACTGCCAGATGTTCTCACCAGTAGTTTTGATTTTTCCACTGATTAATTCATCCCTATTCATTAAGTAATGACTTAGCTGCTTATTTTTCCACTCTGTTAATAGGGCAAAGCCAGTGTGGAACATGCTCAGACACAACAGAGAGCACAAACCATCACTTCATCTGTTTACAGCCCTGTAGAAATAGCTCCTAACTGCTAGGAAATCTTTGATCTCTGCTTCTAACAGGGACTTCATTCCATTTTGTTCTGTCCCCAGTAAGTGCCAGCAACTGGGAATTCTGCTTTTTGTTCTGAAAAACAACAAGTTGCTTTACAAAATCTTATGGTGGAGTGAGGTGACTCCTTTGAATAGCTCAGAGTAAGAAAACTGATTGTCTTCTCAGCTCTGAGAATGCCCCAGAAAGCCTCTGGCTGTGTGAAGAGGAGAGATGACTCTTGTGAAAGATGTTGAAAATCTAATAAGGCAAAGGATGCTGCTCCTTCTACTATTTCAATGGGAAATGTAAGACTCTGCCAATCAGTTCTGGCTCTCCAGGAGTTCTATGACTTGAAGGAGATGTTTTCTCATTTAAAAGCAAATTCAAAGGGGTATTTTAATGAGCAGTTATGTAAATGAAGTCTCTTGCTGAAGCAGAATGTCAGATTGGTGCATGCAGGAGTCAAACTTGTTAAAAAAAAAAAGCTATTGGCTACATTGGTCATGATTCCCACTGACTTTACAAGGGTCTTGATTTCCTCCTACCTCTGTTTTTGGGGTCTCTGTCTGAGAGTTGTTTGAAGAGAAGTAAATGTGACCCCTGAGAGGGGTCCACTTGCTCTGCATGGTGCTGGGCTTCTCCTCCAGCACCAGGTGACCTGTATCCCAGGTGAGGAAGTGAACACAGACTTACTTTGCCCACAGGGAATCCAGTTCAGAACACACCACCAGATGTTGAACATGGTGGCGTGGTGGTACACGTGCAGGAAGGTGATCTGGCTGCTTTTCTTTCTCAAGACAAAGAAGATAGTGTCCATGAATTCAATTACTTTGGAAAAATAATACCACCACAGCACCTTGGCTACCTGTACAAGCAAGAACAAAGGAGCAGGAGATGAAGATCTGGCTGTGAAAAAGGGCTTTGAATATTGCTGTGCTTCAGCAGTCCCTAGCCACTCAACTTCCCACAAGGCATTGATACCCTACTGAAGGAGGAGCACAAGCTCTTGTTTCCATTGGACTTCTCTTTTGAATGAGGAGGTATGGAAAAAAATCCATCATTTTAATGTGAGGCATAAATGTATAATTATCTAAACATAATTTAAGGAATATACACTTTTGAAGGTTTCTTCAGGGTTCCATTTTTTCATCAAAAATACAGTTGGGGTGGTGGTTGGTTGTGGTATTTTTTTAAGGGTGCTACTTTGGCACTGAACAGATTTTTCTGGCAGCTTATTCTTTTTAAATAAACCAACTCTGACCTTCAACACAGTGGAACAGACCCTCCTCTAGGGCTGGGACACTTTATCAGAGCTCTGGATACATCCCAGGACAGTTAAAGATAGCTAATTACAACAAGAAGGGGAAAACAGCTTGTTGATAGTGGAAAAAAAGTGTTTAACTGAGTGTTTCCTTGCTGAAACAGTGACAAATGTTTAGGATTTGATATAAATTAACCAATCTTTCTGCCCCTGGGAAGCAACCCTGAAGTGGGGGATGACAGAGCTGATACCTGGAATTGCTGTGATGTGGAAATAAGGGTTGAAACTAGGGCTAAGCCAAGTTAGCACAATGTCTCTGCAGTTTTCCAGAGTTCAGAGCTGGGCTTAAATCAGTTTCTACCTAGAGCCCAACAAGTGTTACATTTGAGATGACTGATTTTTCCCCCCCAGCTTCTTTAAATGACTCTGTTTTAATAGGCACTGCTGTTTTGCTCACAGATCTGGATGTGTGGCTTCTCAAAATGCTTTTTTTCTGGGGTGAGGATGCTGTTAAACCCCTCGTGTCACAGATGTCACCAACAGCACCCTCCTCACTGCCACGAGCACAGGAGTGTGGCCTGGGGGATGTGGAGAGAAGGTCTGCCCTGGATGGGTGGGGGGCTGAGCTCACCCTGATATCAGCTTCCCCTGCACTGTGGAGGTTCTGGCACTGCAAGTTGTAGCCTCCTTCCCATGTGGCAAGGATGAGCTGAAAGAGAAAACACAGCAGTTAGAGAAGGATAGAATTGTTTAGGCTGGGGAAAAAAAACCTTTATGGTTGAGGCCAACCTTCAACCTAACAGCTCACTCATACTCCACCCCATTCCACAGGGCCTAACTTCAGTCTCACTTCAATGACTTGGTTAATATCTTATTAATGCTTCCTAAGTGCCTGACTAAATTGCTTAATTAGAGTGAAAATAACTCTGCACTTTTAATCTCACTCTCAGAATTCTATATGCATGGCATAGATAGTTTTAGTCCTTAGTACAATATCTAGCAAGCCCCCAAAAGCTAAAACCTTTCCAGATCAATTTTAATTTCCTATAGAAAACAATCACTTTTGACTATGTACTCCACTTTTAAAAAGAATTATAAAGCACTAAAATTCCACCAAACAGAGGATTGTATTTTCCTAAATGCCACAAAAATCCCAATTTAGTGGTATAACTCTATATTATGTCTTCAGATGTTCTGCTGCTTTTAGTATGGGGGCTGCAAGGGGACAGAATGATGGAGCAGAAGGTTTCTAGGAAGTCATGTAGAACCCCACAGAGTTGTTTCAGTTGGAGAAGACCTTTAGGATCAAGTCTAACCATTAACCCAACACTACCAAGCCCACCACTAAAATATCTCCCTAAGCTCCTCATCTACATGTGCTTTCAATACTCCATATTGTTCCATAAACTGAATTAATTCCTAGCAGCAATACATTAAAACCCAAAAGATTACTGATAATATCTGGAGAATAACCAAACCACCCAGAATGTATATTTTAAATTCCCATTTAAAGCAATAACACCTTGAAAGCCAAGACAATTTATTATTTCTCCTCTGAATTTGCAAATCTGTGATGGTCCCTGTAAATTCCAACAAAGCTGGTCAGTGGTCCAAATAACACAGAAAGATTGCAAAGAGAGACAATAAATAATAATTTTGACTACTTTGCAAGGTAATTTTCAAGATTTCTGGCTAGATTCCTAATAAAAAAAAATGAGTGGGGAAATTGAAAGGCAGAGAAGTACTTTTTTGGGGTGCTGGTGATCCTAGGCTGTGACTTTCATGTTGGCTGTCAATGTTACCCTGAAAATAAAAGGTGTATTATTTGACTCTATTTAGTAAAACCCACAGAGGAAAATGCTGCCTTGTGAAAATTTTCTACTAAGTAACAACATCCTGCTGTTTGTTCTCCTATTTGGCTCTTGCTCTAATATTTTCAACAGATTCCAGTTGTTCCACCAAGAAAAGACCTTTGCTCATCTGCCTGAGAACAAGCAGCACAAGGATTTGCAACATTTGCTCCACTGCAGCCACCTCAATCTTTTTTTTAAAGGAGGGATTCTGTTGTTGAGGACTGAGAGGTGGTTCTGCTGTATGACATCTCAGCAGAGGTTGGGCCAGCAGGGCCAGAAGATGGGGCTGAAGCCTCTCACCTTGCTCAGCAGCAGGCTAAGGATCAACAGCTTGGCCCCAGGAGCCTGTGCCCTGCTCACTTCAAGATTTCACCCTCAAAATCCTTCATAGCTAGAGCTTGGTCCTGTGTTGTCCTCTACAGGTAGGCTAGAGGCTGAGGCACCAGCATGTGGAAGATGATCAATCCTTGTAAGGCATTCAGGATCTTTTCAGTTTACCTGGAGAGAAGGTTGGTGTTTGCAGTCTCAGGGAAAGGCCCAGACCTTTCCCACCACACCCACCCTTCTAATTTTGTAGTCTATTTATTTGTGCTCATATTTATACCTCCGTTCACTATTTATTTTCACCAAGTTAGGGTTTTTTTTCCCCTCCTGGTTATAATTCCAAAATCAACACTTTAGCAAAGCTTCACAGGTATGACTTTACCATCCAGAAGGATTCCTTTTGATTTCTGGTTCATGACTCTCATCTCCAGCTTGATCTGCCTTGATTTTTCCCTACCAGAGTCACCCTAAGTAGGCTTCTGAAGCACCTTTGTCTCTTTGCAACAGTGCAGAAGGGGAAGCCAAAATTCCTCTGGACTTTGTGGAAAGAAATGGAGAAAGAAATCTCTTGTCATTATGATGTCTATGTTGTAATCCTGGGCTTTTTGGGGGATTCCAGCCCATCAAGATGTTTTAATCAGATGACTGTCCTCAAGCCATGGAGGTCTTGCTGAACTAAGGGGATGAGTCTAGGTAGCAACAAGAAGGGTCTAAGTTGCTGTGAATTGCCTGATTTCCTGGGCTGTAGGAGGTTTTTGTTAGTCCTTGTGAATAGCAGCTCTTCCCTACAGCTCCAGACTTTGACAAAATAGTCCTAGAGTGGTTACCTGCAGGTCAGATCCCAAGGAAAATAAGTCTAAGCCAAGGCTCAGGTCACTGCTTCAGGAAGGTGAGAGAAACAACTTTATTTTCTTTGCATTTTTTTTAATTTCAAGTGGATTTTGGAATGAAATGTCTTGGAAGATTCTCAGTGTCTAAAACCAGAGGGCAGATATTCCTCATCTCACTTAACTTCTCCTTGGATGTTGGACTTGTCTCCTGAGGAGACTGTGCTTTTATGGAACAAGCAGAAGAACAGAGGAAGGTACCATTAATCATCCTTGATTTATCCCTTAATCAATTAAAAATACCTAAAAAGCATTGACATGGGTCTTCTGGTGGGATATAGTAAAACCCTCAGTGAGTGGTGCTTGTTGAAGAACATCTTTCTAAATAGGCTGCCTGGTTTTTGATGAGCCTCCAAGAATTGTGGAAGAGCCCCAGATTTTGGGTGGATGGCTGAGTTGCAGAGCAGCCTCTGTTTCCAGATTGCTGCTCTTGTGTCCTGAAGGTCTTAAGCTGTAGTCAGGCAAGTCCCTAAATCCCAGAGGGAAGCAACATGAACCATTCAGCCCAGGACTGGAGGATTCCAGCAGCTTAGTCCCAACCCTGCTGCTTGGTCAGTGCCTCAGTTTCCCCAAATGTAGTGCTAGTAGCAGTGCTGTGCCAATCCAGAAGCAGAAACACCCCACAGGACTTTTCACAATTTAAATATTTTGTTGTCCCTCTTTATGATGCAGCTAAGAAGGTGGTGGGTTTTGTAGGGACAGACATGTAATGCTGGATATTCCAGGCTGGAGGAAGTCGTGGTCCCACTTTGTTTTCATTTTGAGGTCACAGTTTTGATAAATGTCTGATTTTCATTTCTTTTTCTCTCAAATGCAAAGCCACGTTGCTGAGAAGGTCCAGCCAGTTCCATTTAATGCCCCTTAGGTCACTGGGAGACTGCCAGAAGGATTAGTGAACTCATGACTTCAAAATGACTTGAACTCCTGAATGCTGAGTCTTTTGTGCATTTGACTATTTTGGGCTAGTGGAATAAGCTACCAGAAATCCCTTCTAGGCTTATTTTCATGGCATTTTTGATTACATTTCTTCTTCTGAATAGCTCCTGCAGGTTATTTTGTGGGACCAGGGATGGTATCAGAAGCTTTGCACATGTGAAAAACCTCATCCCACGAATTTCTGCCCTTGCTCTCCAGTGAAGTTCTGCTGAACTCTACTGGGATGGGCAGGTGAGATCTCCCTTTTTGATGAACAGGCTGAATGTTCTGCTGGAACACAGAGCTCAGAAAGGTCAGTAGGGAAGAGAGAGAGCACTGAGAGGATGAAAACTGAGAAGTGAGGACAAGATGTCCAGCTAGAATAACTGCAGGCAAGGATAACCAAGTCAGCTCCTCATCTCTCTGGGAATTTAACCCTATTCAAAACTCTTACTTGTTCAAAATAGCTGCTTGCTTTTGTCCTTACACTTCACTGCTTTAAACTGTATTCTCAGTGACCTTCTGGTGTCTGGTTTTTTTTCCTCACTTCTCTTTTTCTTCCAAATGACAGAAAACTGCACCTGATCTCTTCCGGTTTCTCCCTTTGTTCTTTTCCTCTTGTTCCCCTAAGGTTAAGACCATTTTTCTGTCCTAATTAGAGAATTACTTCAAAGGAAGCCTTTACCTCGAGCATCAATCCTCCTGGATCTAGAATAATTATTTGCTTCCTTGCTAAGTTTACATTCCCTAACTTCTGAACAATTAAAGGAGCAAACAATCGTTTATTACAATCTTAAATCAAAGTCATTGTATTCAAGTTGGATTTCTAGAGGAAACTTCTAGGACATTTCAAGTCATCTAGGATCTAAGTCTTTTTTACTTTCAATAGAATCATTCTGGTTAGAAGAGACCTTTAAGACCATCAAGTCCAACCATTCCCTCAGGTCCCCACTGCCCCGTGTCCCTCAGCACCACATCTCCACAGCTTGGGAACCCCTCCAGGGGTGGGGACTCCACCACTAGCCTGGGCCAGACCTAGACAACCCTTTTGGGGAAGAAATTTTTCCTAATATCCAAACTAACCCTCCCCTGGCAGAGCTTGAGGCTGTTCCCTCTTGTCTTGTCCCTTGGGAGCAGAGCCCGACCCCCCCCTGGCTCCAGGCTCCTGTCAGGAGCTGTGCAGAGCCAGAAGGTCTCCCCTGAGCCTCCTTTGCTCCAGGCTCAGCACCCCCAGCTCCCTCAGCTGCTCCTCCCCACACTTGGGCTCTAGACCCTTCCCCAGCCTTCCTCATCACCTACATTGTTAAAACTCTCCTTAGCCCTTCTGCTACTCAAGCTCTATTTGAGTTAAGGAGCAAATCTCTCTGATGTCAGCCATTATAACAATGGAATAAGAGAGAATTTTAAGTACTCCTCCTATTTTGGGTTTCTTCCTTTCATTCTGCCTGCTGTTACCCCAAACCCAGGCATTACACCAGGCTTTCCAGTAGTTTGTAAGATGTAATCCCAGTTGCAAGGTGTAGGGCTAAGAACAGTGGCTGGTGGCCCTGACAGTGCTTCTCCTGCTAGCAAAGGCCAGAGGTGGCACTTCTGATACTCCTGGGAGTCCCTTTATTATTTTGGCACCTATGGATCTGCAAGTCAGGACTGGAATTCAGAAATCTGACTTATTGTGGGGTGAATTTTCAGCTCCTAGAAATAGGTAAAGATAATTTACTTTTTAAAAAAAAATTATACTGAAAGGTAAAAGGCTTTTCTGGCTTCCCTCAAAATTTTAATGCACTGGTTCTTGCAGTGCTTGTGGAGTTCTGCTCTTTCCCCTTTGCTCTGAACTGAGGGGTTCTCCCATGCAAGCTCTGCTTCCCCACATGGCTGTGGAGCTGTAGTAGGTCTGTGAAGCTACCTGGGGTTACAGGCAGCTCTGAGCCATCAGGCCACCCCCATGCTGATGACATGGATCTCTACATCTCCTTTTTAATCTGACCCAGATGGGGCCAACGTCCTGGTTTCCTCAGTGCCTGACCAACACAAGGACTTGGGTGACACCTTGATGACTAGCTGAGATTTAATTTAACCAGGGCAGAGGTGATGCTTAGTGCTGGGGAAAGCAGCCTAAAGACCATGGTAGAGATTATGTCTCTTCTTATTAATGAGAGAGTAACCTCACTGGAGTAATTCTACAATTCAGAGATCAGCACTGGTCTCCTCTGTTTCCAGTTTTAATTTCTCATTGGAGTTTTGGCAGTTCTACCCCAGGGTGAACTTCAAAACCTTCCCTTGGCCTCTGGCACCTCAGGCTGCATCCCTGGGCTGTGGTTTGGGAGCTGAGGTGCACATGAAATAATGTACAAGCATGCAAAGAGCTGCCTGCTTTGCACAGTGAGCTGGGTTTCTGCTCATACTTGGTACTTTTAGGATCTTGGCTAGAGATTTGTGTAGAGGAAAGGTGTATTTCTCTTCAGTGAAATTGCTCCAAGTTTGATTTTTTTTGTTAAAATAAAAAGGTGGTGGTTGTTTCTGTAGGTTTTTGGTGATGCCACCAGAATTTGTTGGGTCAGTAGACTTGGTATCTGAGTCTATGAACACTGAATGGTAGAGAAGAGTACACAACCAGGAACAAAGCTCTGATGCAGGTTTCTCTTCTAGTGGCAATGGGGGGAGGAATTGTTCTCTAGCCCCTTGGCAGTGTGCCTGCAGCCTGCCTGATTTAAGCACAGGACTCTCCTCTAAGCTTCAGGTACTTGGAAAAACCATGCTCCAAAATCAAGTGCTCCACTTCACTATGGAGAGAGGTAGGTACCTGTGACAGCTTCAAGAAAATCCACTTGCCTAACTTGGAAATCTAAATTCAGGTCTAATAAACTGCCCTTCTTGGAGGCCCCCAGGTCTTTCCTGACACAGAAATTTGGAGGCATCTCAGTAGGGTGAGGACAGCTGGACAGAGCTGCTTTTCTTTAGACCTTGTTCTTCAGGGATAGTGGGGGGGTCACCTGGCCTTAGGCTGGTGGCACATCACAGAGTTGCCTTGGAGCTGTTCCTCCAAGTGCTTTAGGGATTGCTTGACCTCAGAGCTCACAGAGCTAAAATTGGCTCCCAGATACCTCATGCCCATGGTGCATGTGCCCTTGGGGATTTAAAACCAGCCCTTTCATTATGACTCCTTGCTGTACCTTTGTCTTCTTGCCTTGAGGCTGCACAGATCAACTGTAGCCAGGGGAGAGCTAAAATAGGTCAGGAGATGAGGGTGAGGAGATGAAGGACTGCAGCACAGGTTCTCCCATCATGTTTCTCATAAAGCCATCAGGTGGGGCAGACTGCATTTGGAGATACACCTTTTCTTTTGAAGGAGGTATTTTTTTCTGTTGAATGAGGTATGTTTTCCTTCTGAATGTCTAAGAAGCACCTACTCCCTTCTGGATCTATCCCAAGGTGTGTGGCACCTTGTAAACAAAACCCAGAAGAGATGATAAGAACAAAGCCAATAGTTGTGAGGTTTCTTGGTGGTTTCTCTCTATATAGAGCTTGTTCTTTTGTGATTTATCTCTGTTACAGAGACCAGAGGGTTCAGGTGCAGCAGGAGGATGGAGGAATAAGAAGTGTTATGGAGGTTTCTAACTAGGAATGAATCCTGAATCTCACCCATTGGAGGGATCAGCTGTGTTTGCATAAGAAACCACTGTGCAGAATGCTCTAAATATAGGTAACTCTTGCCTTAAACAGCTTACTGCCCATGAAACACAGGGAGAAGCTTTGGAAATGAGACATTTTGAAGTGTTGAGTCACCACAACTTTATTCACAAGAGGGGCTCACCAACCTCACTGTGAAAATGTTATAACTACTCTAAATCTTCCCTCCTTTAGTTTCAAACCATCACCCCTTGTCCTGTTGCAACAGGCCCTGCTAAAAAGTCTGTCCCCAGCTTTCTTTTGAGCCCCCCTGAAGCACTGAAAGGTTGCAAGAAGGTGTCCCCAGAGCCTTTTCTTCTCCCAGGTTCCCAAAAAATGAAGAATGTGGAGCTATGAGCCTCTGCCACCCACATCCAGCTCCTGTTTGGGAGGTGTAACTCATCTGCCTGCAGGTGCAAAACCCAAATTTGCTTCATTCACTTGAGAAATGCTAGAAATTCTTTGTTTATTCATTTCCTTGTGGCAGGCCAAACCAGCCTGCAAGGGGAAAGGAAGAGTGGTTTTGTTTTCTATCCAGTTAATCCTTTTTGCTGAGTCTTGCTTCTGAAGACAGTTATCTGTATACCTCCAAGCAAAAATGGGATTTCAACATCAAAGTGCTCATTTAAATTCTGGAGGACACTCAGTATGGAGTCATCAAATGTTCCAGCAATTGTGCTGGTTTCTCCTTTGCTCTGGGCCTCATCCTGCACTCTCAGACACCCCCAGCAAGCTGAAGGCAGCTGGAGCTTTGACCAAGACACAAACCTAAACTGCTCTCCAGCCTTTTGACCAGACCACTCACCTGCTGCTTAGCTCAAATTCATTTAAAACTTGAAATCTTTGGGGTCCTTTTTGGCTTCTGTGAAGTTTCTCATCCAGCAGTGATGGATGTTCATGCTTTGATATTAAAAGGGCCTGAATTATCACAGACTGAGAATGGTGAGCTCCCAAATAATATCAAAATTGTGACTCTTGGCTTCTGCTGCCCACGGGGGAGATGAAAACACACATCCTTGCAGAGGAACACTGAGTCCTCTGCTGTTGCAAAATCAGCAGATGCATTCAGACCTCTCTTTTGGTTCTGAATGAATCCTGATTTCTCTGAGCCTGTTCCCTTCTGATAAGTACTTGGGAAATAATCTGTGTGACCACATTCAGCCTCCAAGTCCCACAGCACTTGTTTTTTTGGCTGAAGTGGCAGGATTTTAACATCTATCTCTTGCTGTCTGACTGAAGGAGGAAAGCTTCTTAGTCAGGAGAGCAGGAAGATAACATAGAATTGCTGCTATCATATACAAATCAGTACTTACTCTCATGTACAAATCTGCTCATGTTTAATCAGGGGCATTTGTGCATAGAAAAAAATCATTCCAATGACAGTCAGAGGGATAAAACCCAATCCATGGGTGCTGAGGAGTGAGGCACAGGCATGTCTGAGCTGAGGGACTGCTGCAGTCCCAAATTCATGCCTGTAGATGCTGGTCTGGCAGCAGCCAGGGGTGGACTGCAGCTCAGGAGGAGCAGTTAAAAGATGCTGAGAAGGTGCTACACAACTCACTGTCCAATTTCCATGGGAATTTTCTTGGTCTTAAATTTATTTTGCTGTTGAGGTCGAGTTTCTGAGCAGAGCTATCTGTTGCTAAGATATTTGTGCTGAAAAAACACCCCTCATGTGTTGCTCCCCTTCCTGAGCTGTGCTGCAGGGAAGAGCACTTACCTCTATGAGCATGTACAAGGAGAGCAGGGTAATCCCAAGGTTATAGACAATGAGGTGAGCCCTGAGGGAGAAAGGAGGCCTGTTCCTCATGAACTTGTTGCCCAGCCATATGCAGAGTAGGTATGCTCCAGTCAGGAAAAAGGTGGGAAGGTAGGAGTCCAACAGGAACCACCCTCTGACCCTGGTATCTGAAAAGAAACACAAGCATCAGGCAATTAAAAAGGTGGTGGGAAAGTCTTGCTAAAATAAAGCAGATTAGAAGGTGAAAAAAAATCTGCTAAAAGCCTGAAGGAATCTGCCCTGCTTTGCTCTCAAGCTTTTACCTCCCCCCAACTAAATCAGAGAAAACAGGCTGAAAACTTCTTATCATAATAGTGAAATAATTAAGACTTTTTATAATAATGATTTTTTTCCCTAATATTTTAAGGTCACTTAGATCTTGTTCTAACAGGAAAGGGGAAATGAAAAGAAGAAAACATTGCTACATGCTTTCAAAATTTTAATTGAATGTTTTCGTTTAATATTTCATCCATCTTAATCTACTCAGTGGACCATTTGCAGATAATATTAAATAAAAAGCATGCATGTAAAGTTGTCAGTTCATAGATTTATTTAATGTATTTTTTATTTTTTACTTTTTTAATTTTTATTTATTCAATG